TGCCTCAGCCTCCTGAGTAGCTGGCATTACAGGCGCCTGCCACCATGCCCAGCTAATTTTTGTATTTTTAGTAGAGACAGGGTTTCGCCATGTTGGCCAGGCCGGTCTCAAACTCCTGACCTCAAGTGATCTGCCCGACGCGGCCTCCCAAAGTGCTGGGATTACAAGGCGTGAGCCACCGCACTCAGCCATGAGCTGATATTTTATTTTTTTATTGAGTGTGAGCCACTGCGCCCGGCCTGAGCTGTTATTTTTTAAGGCTACAGCTGAGTTGGAGAGCAAGCAGTGGGGCTAGGGCAAGTTCAAACACCACAGGGTTCACTATTCTTACCAAGATTCAGCTACTTTTCTTAAATAAATATTCCCTGGATTGCTTGCCGCAAACCTTGGTTAATTTCCAGAGTTTGGAAAAAGTTGTTTCTGACTATTCTGGCTAGATTTTTCATGGCTTTTTTTTTTTTTTTTTTCCCCCTGAAAATGAGTCTCACTCTGTCACCCAGGTTGGAGTACAGTGGTGTGATCTCAGTTCACTGCAATCTCCACCCCCTAGGTTCAAGCGATTCTCAACTGCCTCAGTCTCCCAAGTAGCTGGGATTACAGGTGCCCGCCACCACAACCGGGTATTTTGTTTGTTTTTTGTTTTTGAAATGGAGTCTCCCTCTATCACCCAAGCTGGAGTATAGTGGCATGATCTCGGCTCACTGTAACCTCTGCTTCCCAGGTTCAAGTAAATTCTCCTGCCTCAGCCTCCCTGAGTACCTGGGACTACAGGCATCTGTCACCATGCCTGGCTAATTTTTGTATTTTTAGTAGAAATGGGGTTTCATATTGTTGGCCAGGTTGGTCCTGAACTCCTGACCTCAGGTGATCCACCCGCCTTGGCCTCCCAAAGTGCTAGAATTAAAGGTGTGAGCCACTGCCCCCAGTCTAATTTTTTTCATTGCTTTTATGGAGGATAAAAATATTTAATGTATTTACTCCAGCATTTTTGCTGATGTCACTCCAGAACCTCACCGCTCACATTTGTAAATGAAATCTTACTGGAATACAGCCAAGCTCTTTCATTTGCATACTGGCTATGATGCTTTCAGGCTATAATGGCACAGTCGAGTAGCTGCAAGAGAACAGATAGTCCATAAAGCCTAAAATACTTTTTGGTCCTTTTCAGAAAAAAAGTTTGACAAACCCTGGTTTATGGTCTAGCCCTGCTCGCTTCATTCCCAACATTCCTGTTCTTCCTGCACAGGAGAGCTTTCCCAGGGCCTCGGCATAGGTTGTTTCATCAGTCTGTTTACTAACCGTCTCTTTCTCTAGAATGCATGTTCTGCGACAGCTTAATGTTGTCTTGTTTGCTGCTATATCTACCATTCAGTGCTTAAGCTGAAAGCCAGGGGTCATTCTTTACATCTAGAGCTCCTCAATACCAGGGCTGTCTATACCCGAGTCTGCTTATCACTGTCTACTTTCACCATTACTATCTTGGTGTCAGATTCCAGAATCTCTGGCCCAACTATTGATATGATGGCCACCTCTCCAACCCATTCCTTTTTTTTTTTTTGGAGATGGAATTTCACTCTTGTTGCCCAGGCTGGAGTGCAATGGCACAATCTCAGCCACTGCAACCTCCGCCTCCTGGGTTCAAGCAATTCTCCTGCCTCAGCTTCCCAGGTAGCTGGGATTACAGATGTCCACCACTACGCCTGGCTAATTTGTTGTATTTTTAGTAGAGATGGAGTTCCATCATGCTGGCCAGCCTGGTCTCAAACTCCTGACCTCAGGTGATTCACCTGTCTCGGCCTCCCAGAATGCTAGGATTATACGCATGAACCACTGCTCAGCCTTTTTTTTTTTTT